TTGTGTCTAGGGCCTGCTCATATGGAGTCTCAGGAGATCTACTTTTTTTAGGGGGGAGGAGGGCTTACTGGGAATTGAATTAATAGCCTTCACAGTAAGCTACACCCCATACCCTTTTTATTTTCAGACAGTATCTTACTTAGCAAAATTTTACTTTTAATGGTAACTAGGAGACCTGTGCCACCAGCTGTCTTGGGCTGTAATTGGACATGGATCATTAGTTCCCTAAGATTTAGGGGTCTGTTAATCTGGGAATAATTTGTGCCAAGGTTGACATTATTCATGAAAGCCATAAAAGTTAATGTTATAGGTGTCGTGACCAAAACTACTCCAGTTGCCTAGAAGCTGCAGCTTAGTTGCTTGTTCGCTGGAAGAGTTACTGAGCTGAACCTGCAGGGCTTGAGGGGCACAGGCTGCCTCCTGTGAGTGGGTCCCCATTCCCAGCCACAAGTAGGTGTTGGACTATGGCTTCAGGTCACCAGTGGCCATGGCTGCATGGCCAGGGATGGAGGGATGAAAGCACAGGTGCCCTTCTGGCTCTTTGATGCTGAGCAGGTCCTGACCCCCGACTTTATGTCGATCCCACGCTGACTTAAATAACAAAACACGCCAGAATGCAGAGCCCATGAAGTTAGAAGTGTGTGATTGAGTTTCTAATCCTGAGGGAATTTTCCAGATATTTTTCTGTTTGGGGCTTCTTATTTCATTCCTTTATTGTCAGAATGTCCTTCACATGCTTTGAGTCTCTTAAAATTTTCAGAATTTGCTTTGTCTAGGTCGACATTTCATCTGAGCTATAAGAGTGTGAACTATGTTCTGCAGGACGTGAGCCTAGGCCGGCGGCCAGTGCTTCGGCTCTTCTGTCCCTCCTCCCTTGCTGTCCACTGTGCTCTGCAGGTTGGCCACGCTAGGTGGTGTTCCCACACAGCACTTCCTCCTGAACGCCTTGCAGCACCACCCCTTCTCAGGTTCTGCTCCTGCTCTGATGTCTGCTTCGTCCACAGCTTTCCCACGAGCAGTGTCTGTGCAGCAACTCTTCCCCACCAGATCTGAATCATCTCTCGCAAGGCAGCACCTAGCTGCGTTTTCCTTACCCGCTTGACAAATGCTACCTTCTCAAGGGTATTTATTTATTTACTTAGTTATTTAGTTATTTAGTTATTTAGTTACTTATGTACTTGGTACAGGGTCTACAGGGTCTCACTATGTAGATCGGACTTGTAGTGATCCTCCTGTGTTCAATCTCCCAAGTGCTGGGATTACAGGTGCACGCCACCACACCCAGTCTCAGTCAGCATCTCAGCGTGCCCCCGGGACAGGACAGGCATGGCACACTGGGTATTGAACCACAGCCACTGTGCTCTGCCTAAGCAGGCACATTAGTCCACTGAGCTATCTGGCCGGCCAGCCCTCTCAGCAGTATTTAGACCATTTGCATCAAACCTAACCTTTGATATGGACAGACGTCTAACAGTCTGTTGTCTAAATTTTTCTCTTCCTTTCTTGCCTTGTTTTGACTGAATATGACTTTTTCTTTATAGTTTATTTGCTCTATTTGCTCTCTCTATTGTTTTCTGTGGGCATTTTAGAATTTAGAGTGCCTAACCCATCCCACTGTGCTTACAAGTTATACTGTTTTTATTTCAAAAGTGCTAAAAGATCTTTACAGTAATAGTCTTCCATTTTCCCTTTCTGGGCTTTTTTTTTTTTTTTTTTTTTTTTTTCAGAATCTCACTACACAACTCAGACTTGTAGTGATCCTCCTGATTTCTGCCTCCCTAGTGCTGGGATTATAAGGGTGCGCCACCAAGCCCAGACTCCATCACCAGCTCAGTGCGCCCAGGGGCAGAGATGGGGCCAGCACAGCATGTGGTGCCAGGGATCGAACCCTGGCCCCTGTGCTTACCTAAGCAAGTGCTTAGTCAGCTGAGCTATACCACTGACCCTCCTTTCTGGCCTTTTTGCTGTTATTGCCACAGTTACTTTTACATATGTTATAAACAAACACATATGCAAAATTATCACATCTTCTTTTTAAAGATATTTAATTAAATTGCAAAGCAAGCCCCTTGTTTGTGTACTTAGCATGTCCGGGCTCCTGACCCATCTGTGCACATCCAGACTGCCAATTCACATTTTTTTTAACATCTCACAGATTGCTTTAATGTTCTCCACTGTTCTCCACCTGTAGGTTTGCCGGTGGCACATTCTTTCAGCTTGTCAGTATCTAACAAAGCCTTTATTTCACCTGGGTTTTTAAGAAAAACTGCTGCTGGGCAGGATCCCAATCTGACACCTTCCCCTCCCTCATATTACTTCCCATGAGAATTCCTTGGCTGCTTTTGCATTCTGTTTGGACCCAAGATCATCTCTCCCTCGATAACCTTGAGCTGGTTGCTCTGATGTGCTTTAATGGCATTGTCTTCGTGTTTCTTGTGCTTAGAGTTTGTTGAGTTTCTTGGATCTCTTGGTTTGTAAGCTTCATTTGGAAAATACTCGGGCAGTGTCTCTTCCGATATTGTCTGTACCCTCTCCTCTTCTTCATAGTATCCAGTTACAGGTATGTCTGGCTGCCTGACATGTCCCACAATCACTGATGCTTTGTCCCTCTCTGCTTACCTCTCTGTGTATGTTTGGTTTCTTCATAGCCAGTTTCCATGGCTGAGCCTTCACCTACCCATCGGTTCCTTCCCAACTTTTATCCGTTGATGACATCACCTAGTGCATTTTTAATATGGAATGTTTTGAGTTCCTTCTCCACTTCTAATGTGCAGTTTCTATAGTGTTTTCTTTATGGTTATCATGGGGATTACACCTAATGTCTTGAAGTTATAGTGCACCCCTTTGGATTTGCACCAACACAGTGTCTGTGACAGGCACACACGCTGCTCCCGAGACCTGCTCCTATCAGAGGCTGGCGTCACAGAATTACATCTTTGCACACTGTGAGTCCAAAACTATGACCCAAGAACGTGTCAAAGTGTGGTGGTCTCTGCAGTTACATGGAGAACAAAAGTAGAATCACAAACCATAGTTGTAGGAATATGCTTCTACACTAATAACTGCTCTTTTCAAAATATATCTCTTAAATCATGTAAAAAAAATGTTAAGTGGTGTTATAGACCACTTTTACGATGGTACTAGTTTCTATAACTGCCCTTCCATTTTCTCTATCAAGGTCTTCGTCTTATGCTGTTGGGTTATGGGCCCTATAGGCATCTACAAAACTCAGCATAGATTCTAGATTCAGATTCTGTTCCTAGCTTTTCATATAGTCAGTAGATCATTGTCCCATCCATCTTTATTTATTTATTTTGGAGAAAAAAAGTGTGTATTTAGAATTCACCTGCTAGACTCAGTTTAAATATCCCAATTTTGTTGGCAGCATCCAGTGCATCAAAATAGGGAGCCTGTCAAACATATGCCTTCTTCTCTTCATCAGGCCTGATTAGGGTTTTGACCTTGGCCACATCAATGTCATAGAGCTTCTTCACAGTCTGTTTGATCTGGTGCTTATTGGATTTGACATCCACAATGAACACAAGTATGTTGTCCTTGATCTCTTTCATGGCTCACTCTGTAGTCAGGGGAAACATGATGGCATAGTGGCTAAGCTTGTTTCTTTTGGGGGCACTCTTCCGAGGGTATTTGGGCTGCCTCTGAAGCCACAGTGTCTTGGGACAGTGGAAAGTGGCTGATGTTTGTATCTTCTTCTTTTTGTGGCTGTGGATGCATTTCAACTTGGCCTTCAAAACTTTTGCTTTGGCTTTAGCTTTGAGAGGGACAAGGCCTTTCTTCTTCACCTTTGATGCCGTCTTAGTCCTCATCCATCTTTAGCTCCTTCATCTCCCTTGGATGTCATTGTTTCTATATGGGACACAAGAGTCCTCAAATTCTAGGAGGGAAAATCAGCAAAGTAGAATTAAACTGGCTTCCTAGACCCTGCCTATCCATGGAGGTGAGCCCAGAGCTCCAGCAGGAGCCACATCAGGATGTCCTGGTGCTGGTGGGGTCTTGTCTGAATCTGTGGAGTGACAGGTTAGGAAGAAGGTAAAGGGTGTTGGCCCAGGGCTCAGCTTACAGATAGAAACACAGGGGCTCCGTCACTGGGTCATGTCCTTTGGCTCATGCTTGATAGGGACCACTCTGCAAGGGAAAGATTGCTTATATCTATCAGAAAACACTTAAAGGTGGGTGCCCTGCAGGTACCACCCTAGATAGCTGAGTAGAGAGTACAGTGTCTCTGCAGCATAACTCAATGAAAATTTGGCTTCCTCCTTGCCCAAGTGAGCTGGATTTTCTTTTTCTTTTCCTTCCTTTCATAAGGGTTGGATGAGTCGCAGGGGCTATGCACCAGTGTAGGCAGTGTAGGGGCCCAGGAGGAGTGGCCTATAGGTCACTGGCCTGCACAGATAAGGGCTCCCCTCTCATGGTTTCTGGAGTACCACATAGCCAACTCCCAAGAGAACCATATCTCAGAGAACCAAGGTGAAAGCACCTTTTCCAAGTGGCTTTTGCTCCTCCTTGTAGCAGATCTCCTACTTCATTCTGCCTACTTAGCATCACCTGATGCTGTGACATCCTTATTCCCACCTTGGGCCTATGCCCAAGTCTTTATCCCTTGAAAAGAGCCTGTGAAGCCCTATGGGAGCCCTGTCACCTCCAAAAAGACAGAGGGACCTCAGGACTTTTAGTAGGCATGATCCTCAGATAAGTGTGCCAGGCAGCTCTGGGATCTCCTGGCAGTGGTGGCCGTCCTGGGCTCCAGAGGCTGCTGCTCTGCCATCTGCAGTCTGTGAGCAGCAAGGCTTCCCAGGGCCTACGTCCATGATTTGGACCCATGATTTAAAAGCTTTGATTGACTTCTTCAATCAAAGTGTGTAGTTTTTGTTTTTAACTGATGAAGAGAGAAAAGAATTTGTTTTGGCTTCAAGAAGATGTGCCCACCCCAGAGCCCCCACCACCAGCGTGGAGGCTCATGCTCTCTCTCGTCTCCCCAGACGCAGCCCGTGCCCAACCCCCTGGCCTACTTCCTGCACCAGTCACCCTGGTGGTTCCACCGCTTCGAGACACTCAGCAACCACATCCTGGAGCTGCTGGTGCCCTTCTTCGTGTTCCTTGGACGCCGCCTGTGCCTCCTCCATGGGGTGCTGCAGATCTTCTTTCAGGTGAGTGCATCCACTTGCCACCACCCTGTCTCCTTTCATGTGCACAGGCCCCAGTAACCTCATGGTTTCCCATTGACCCTTTGACAAGGAGCTCTGGAGCAGATGTGTCTGGCTCGCAGCACTTCTAGGAGCAACCTCACCAGTTCCACCTCCTCTCCTGGCCCTGGGCAAGCTCTGCCCCCTCCTGAGAGCATCTGTGCAGGATGACAAGGGGCAGGCACAAGTCTGGGTTAGATACGCCACAGCCCAGTCCAATTGCTCCTACCTTGGTGGGTCCAATCCTAATTTCTCCTCAAGTTCCAGAAGTTTCCTGTCACATACAGATGTCAGTATCCTGGGAGTTGGGGTTCTGAGGGGCCCATCTTGTGCTGTCCCCTCAGGGATTTTTGTTGTCAACATTACTATCTTTCCCAAGCTGTAGGCACCTGGCCCCACTCCTGCCCCACCTATCCTGAGGTGCCTCCCTGGGTGTCACTGACTTCGGCCCACCATACTTCTTATGACTTTTGGGATCCACTTGTCAACTTCCAAGGAAATCACAGTTGAGATTTTTAAAATTTCTATCTTACGTTTTATTTTTATGGACGTGTAACGTACATCCAGCAAAATGTACAATCTCAACTGTGTGGCCTATTCTAAGACTTGTACCCAGTCCAACAGAGCCATGTACCTTTGTGCTTCCTTCAGACCCATCTCCACCATGACACCTGTGAGCCCCGTGTGCTGGCTGTCTCTGCCCTGGGCCACCTGTCCTCATGTTTATATCCCCCTCCAGGAGCACAAGCTGCTATAAGCAAGGACCATAGGGGAATCCAACCTGTTGTAGACTCTAGGCTGTCTCTTTGTGGGGTTTTTTGTTTTATTCTTTGTTTTTCTACAAGTCTGTCATGGGCCCTGTGTACTCCCCTGTCTGGGACCTGTTCTCAAGGGACACTGTTGGACCATGGGGACATGTTTTGGTGGTGCTTATCTCTACAGGAAATATCCATTTCCTCAAGTGGTATACCTTTTTCCATCTCCTGCAGCAGAGCTGGGCCCTCATGGCTCTACATTCTCAACCCTGTTGTTGCTACTGGTCATTCCACATCGACCATGCCAGGGTACAAATGGCATCTCATAGAGTTGGTCTCTTGGGACCATAGTGTTCACAGAGTTCATTGGAAAGAATTCATGTGGTCATAGCTCTCTTTCCACAATGCAAAATTCTCTCCAGAGAGGGAAGTGTGCCCTTTATCTTCATAGCTGTATGATGTCTGTATAATTCTATTTCACACATGTTTGGGCATAGTAGTTCTGTGCACTTATCTTGTTGGACTTTTAAATGGACATCTTTGTTTTAACCTGAAGTTTCTTCCTCTTTGACACTGTAGTTGTTTTGTAGGTATGTTGCTGTTCTTCAGAATAGGTCTTCCTCAAATGACTTCCCTGCACTAAATGACAGTCACCATGTGGGTGGCTCTCTGATAATACTCCTGTGAATATCAGTGGTGCCCCTTGTCACTTTGAGGTTCTAATCCTGCCTCTTTTCTTTTGCTGTGTGGGGTCATCAACTCTGCACCACAATGGTAGCCTTGTCCCCTCTCCCCACAGCATACCTGGTGCATCTGCCAACATCCTACAGGTTTTGAAGCTGCCAGTGTCACCTTCTCTTCCTCGGGTTTACAAAGAGTTCTGATTCATAATTTTGGTTTTTGTTTTGTGGTCAAGAGTGGACACAGTTTAGTAGATGTATTCCCAGCCAGTTATGCAAGGTCCCCGGGGTTTTCTTCTCCAATGTCTTAATGTGGTGAGTTATGTTACCCCACTAGTGTTAAGCCAGCTTATGTTCCTAGAGTAAACCCAGCTTGGTCAGGCTATAGAAAGTGTATTTTATTACTGGGCCTAATTCACCAGTGTTTTGTTTTGGATTTGTCGTGGCTGTCAGCGAATGAAGGCCTGCCTGGTTTTCCCCCCCAACTGCCACATGGATTTGCCATCTGTGGCGTCACCCTCCCCACACGAATGGGGATAGCCTTGCTCTCTTAGAGCTCAGAGAGATGTGGGTGGCCTATTCCTTTAACCCAGACACGGGTTCTTTGTGAATACTGGAGCAGACCCTTCCATGGCTGCAGGGCATGCCGTTCCCCCTCTGGGAGGCAGCTTTGGGAGGCATTCATGTCCCAGAATTTGTTCATTTCAGCTGATTTCAAGTCTACTGGCCAAAAAGAGGTGGCAGTGTTCCCATATCATTACGGAGTGTAGATCTGTGACCTGCTCCCCTCCTCCTGCCCCCATCTTCACATCTGAGCCAGGCCGTGTCTAAATTGGGCCCACCACTGACTGAGTGCTGAGCCTTGCCACACACCTGCCATTGTGATGGCCTTAAGGACATTCAAATGTTTAACCTGTCTCTGGCCCTACCCATTCACCTGTTTTGGTCCAGTGTTTTAATTTTTTTTAAAGACTTCTCTTAGCACAATTTTGGGTTTATATGAACATTGTGCAGAGAATGAACAGGTTCCCCTGTCCCCCTCCCTACAAACTCCTCACACTGGTGTACATGGCCCAGAGTGACATGTGATTACCAAAGTCCACAGCCCATATCAGGCTCCCTCCTGTGTGGCATGTTCTATGAATCTGGACACATATAAGAGGACTCGTGTCCACCACCGCAGTGTCATACGGTATTCTCCCACAGGCTCTGGGAGTTCTGCCTGTTCATCCTTCTCCATACCCCAACCCCTGACAGCCCTTGACCTTTTCCTGCCCTTATATTTCTGCCCTTTCCAAGCATCCTGGTGGTGGAATCACAGTGTCTCCTGTACAGACTGGCCTTTCTCGGTCACATGATTAAGGTCCTCCTGTCTTTCCCTTAGTGCTGAATGATGCTCCCTCATCTGAATGTTCCACAGCCTGTTTCTCAGCCCCGTGCCCCCCACACACACACACTGACAGAGTTAGTGGGTTTCGTGTTTCATGCAGGGCACTAGGGTATTTGACTGAGCACTGCAAGGAGGACTACATGGACAGCTTCAGAGGGTGCCTGGCCTAGCCTGGTGAATCTCAGAGTCCTGACCAAGTTCTGGACACCAAGGCTTTCCTCCTTCTCATAACCAGGGTCCACAGGGAATCCTCTTCTGAGGACACTCTCAGGGGAATGGATGAGGCATATGTGACACCTGCTTCATGCACACAGGAGCCTGAGCCACCTTTGGCCCCACATCCTGAGGTGCCAGTGGTGAGAGGAGGTGTTGAGCTCCACCTCTAGAGGTGTCCTCACTGTGGCTATACAAGCCAGGGATCCCTGGCCAGTAACTAGCAGGAAATGCAGAGCTGTCCACGCTGGCTCCAGGTCCTGGTGCAAAGGCAGCGTACAGGACCCCCACTGGACATAGCCGGGGCAAGGGATACAGGTCTGCTCAGCCTTCTGCTTGGTTGCACTGCTAGTAACCACCCTCTAGGCCCCCTGCACTATGCTGACCAGTGCCCCCTGCTGCTGATCTCCAAATAAGCAGATGCTGCTCCACCAGTACTAGCAAGAAGCAAATCATTCCATTACTTAAATGGCAAGCGGTGGTGAGGTTTGTGTCCTTTGTTGTTTGTTTGTTTGCTTGCTTGCTTGCTTGCTTGCTTGTTTTGCAGTACCGGGGATTGAACTCAGGACCCTTTGCTTGCCAGGCAAGTGCTTATTCTACTGAGCTATCTCCCTGGCCCTGAGGTTTGTGTCCTTTGTGCCCTGAGAAAAGTTCTATCTTGAAGGAAGACCTGGGAAGAGGCAGTCTGACCTTAGAACCAGTGGCTTAGAGTGCCTTCTTAGGCAGAGCTTTCTTGGTGAGAATCCCATCAGACTTTAGGATAATCCCACCCATACCAATAGCCAAGCACCCCACAGCCTCACTGCCCACAGTCTGTGGGGACATCCACATCTGCACCAGGTATGGCCCCTGTTCTTGGTCTTCTGCCCTGAAGTAGCCCCTGCGCACATTTCCTCAGTACAGAGGTGATCCACTGACTTAACCAGGGGGCAGGGGATGTTCCTCCTCCACCTAAGCCCCTGGGCTTGTTCCAGAAGGCCCAGCCCAATGGCCTTCTCAAAGGTCCAGGTGTGTCCCTGGCATCCTCTCTAGCCCATGGCATATCCAGGACAAAACAAAGATGCCCAGATCCATGACTCCTCTCTCAGCCTCGTCTGACATCACCTAGGCAGGGTGGGGTGTTGGACTGGAGACTGGCAAGGCACAGCCTGTGTCATCCTGAGAGCAGATGCCCACAGTTTGGAGACGATATAGTATGGAGTTGGGGAGGACTGTGCACTCTAAAATACGGGTGTGCTGGCCAGGATATAACTTCCGCAGCTCCGGCATCCTTCCTCTGGGAAAGATGGGGTGCAAGCAGGTCACCTCCTCCCACACTGAGTTTATACAGCTGCTTCAGAGGGTTCTGCAAGGACACAGGTCCACCAGCTTCTTGGAGAAGTGCATTGGGAAGGCACAGAGGAGCAAGGTACCCCAGTTCCAATGGCATCATCAGCATTCACCACAGACGAAGTTTGGACCTCCATGGCCCACTGAGGTGTCTGCCCTCTCAGGAAGGAGGCAGGCTGGACCTGAAATTCTGCCAGAGGCTGTGAGGAAAGGGAGGGGGCCATGGAAAGGCAGCTTCTGAGAGACACCCTCCTCACCGCTGCTCTGACTCTCCCACTGCTGCATCTAGGAGAAAGGCTTGAGAGACACCCTTAGTCCCCACAGTTAGCCAGGCCCATCCATGGTCATGTCTCGGCAGCAGCCCTACCCTCCAGAGCCGAGTGTGTGTGCCCCCACTTCTTGGGTGTAGTGAAACAACCAAAGCATCTACCATTTCAAGCTGCATCCCAGCAGTGTTGAGCACGTTCTCAGTGTTGCGCAACCAGTACACCTAATTCTAGAACTTGTACTGCGCAGCACACGCAGGACCTACTCCTCCTTACCACTAGCTGAGGTCTACTCTGCCCACAGACCTGTCCCAGCTGCATGTTTGTGCAA